TCTAAGGACGTGTCTGGCGAACTTGTGCCGGCTACCGTCACTTTGCCGAGCTTGCCACGATTAAGACCGCCCACTGAGGGGCCTCACGCTTCCCAAAGATCGTCACACTGGCAAGTCGCTCCATTGACCAACAGGCGGCTAGCCTGTTTTCATACCAGGTCGATCTTCGGTTCAGACGAGCTGAACCTGGGTTTACCGCTAAGCACATTGACCTTACTCGCTTACACATTTTCACAGAGGTACGTCCCATTTGAAGTGTCGAGCACTTGAATCAGCACGTACGTTAGTGAATAAATTCCTCGTTAAAGGACTGATTGGTCGATGGTGTCTCACTCTTGTTGTGCCTATTACTGGATAGTTCGGGCAGTAGTTAGAAGGAGATTACGTAGCCGGCTACCAGAGGCTCAGACTGCCCAAGGCGTCAAGCCGCACGTATTTAGAGCCGTCAAAGACTACACAGGTTTTACCCTTAAGTCCTGTATCAAATCTGGATACCAGGGTGAGACGGGGACTAATAAACCGTAACACCCGGAACCCCGTTAATGCCCCCCAGCATAATACTAGACGCCGTGCGTGCAACACAGCATTTGAGAGGCACTTATCAAGGGTCAAGGAGTCAGTTCTTGAGAAGGACATGCTTTTAGAGGTTCGTTTGGGTACAAGAACAGTTATGAGGAACAAGGGAGTAGTTTTGAGAGGTATCAACACTACATAAATCAGGTTAGGGTGTGTATTTTATAGAGCCGCAATGTGGATATCCCTCATCGTACACGGGGTTCGGGCGCTGTCTGGAATAAATTCGCAGCCGATCCATCAGCCCTTGATATCTGCCGAGAGTTATTTACTTTAGGGCAGAGCTGGGAAATCGGTGCATATCTCATTGGTTTCCGATTCCTATTGCGTCTGCCCAAAGTTACTACCACACTGTGCATCAAGATTGGTATTGCGCAGTGATATTTTCTTGTCCTGCACGCAATTCCTTCGATGAGCACCTATTATTTCGATCGCGATTATTGTCCAAAACTTATGGATTCGCTCGCGTCTAAGTAGGCCAAGGCGATTTTTGTCGACCCCTAAGCAAGGGAAGCTTAACCAGGACTTCATGCTCCTTGAATCGGCCAGGTCATACCGTGCGTGGATAGGAGCTATACACAGGACATACGACCGGAAGTGCGCCGTAATTCCCCACCACGTTGCTGAACTCTGTGCCTTAGTATACTATAACGTTTGTCGTGAGCCTAGTGACGGTTCTAGTCTCATCACTACGCTAAGCGCAGGTTAGTACGCCCTCATGGCGTTATAACCAATTCCCGATCTTCAGACAGGGACTACTTCTGACCGTTTGCTGATATCAGTAAGGCAACGGTAATGCGTAAACAGGAAATAATCTACCAGGTCCCTTTTGTCCACCTGGTCCGATCACCGTCTTTAGCCCTACTAACGGGTGACGCCGAACGTCCGTGGCTCCACCCAACCTCATAGTCCTCTATCCGCGTGTATTTCCCACCTTGGTTTTATGCAGCTCAAATGTTTTTAGGGACCACATCGTATAAAACTGGTTCATTCCGACAGATAATTTTAGCGACCAATAGACACGGGTGGGGCAGAAGGACCCCTTCCAATTCATGGACATAACACGTTGGTACTTGACACCATGAAATAGGGCATCGCCAGGTTTATACCCCGAGATTCATTTAAAATGAATGCCTTCCCGAGGCTTTGCCGAGCGATGGCAACATAGCCGCGCGCGACGGTGTCCTCTGAGCCGATAAGACGGGTACCATGGGAGTGTCTGCTGGGCTCGCACGCAAAGCGATATCAGGCCTTAGTTCGACAATTGCAAAACCGTCCATTGATAATTCGATTTCACGATCAGAAGTACGCTTAAATCCCTCAGGCCCCATACCTTTGCCAGGAACCCCTTTGATGGTTCACAGCGGGGTCGACCGACCGATCGCCCGGAGCAAAGGCGATCCGGGGATGCTGTCTAACGACAGTCCCACCCGGCTATCATGACCGTTCGGGTAACATCACAATGTTTTGGTTATCGAGCAGGGCCGCGAGGCAATGATGCACAACATGTTTAATGCCAACACCTTCATAACGGACTCGAGTCTAAAGCTCGCAGCCCTTCTTCATAGACTTCAACCAGTTGGTCTGTTCATGTTCTTGACGGCTGACGCCGGCGGAGAAAAAATAAACTTGGTCAAGTTGCCCCGTGCCAGCGGAACGAACAATGAATGAAGGGCAATATTCTGACAATATGCTGCGCTTCAACGCATGGAGTTTGACTCATCTTTCGCATGCGAGGAACAGCGTGGTACCCCTAAGTTCGGCTACGAACCCATACACTGGCTTATCGAAGGGACGCCGAGCTGTAGAAATGGAACGACTGGGTGGAAATCGCTATCTATGCAGTTAAAACCCCTACGAGATTAGAAACACAAAATGTCCCGTCGGTAACTCTCTCACGTTCAACTCTATACGATTACAATAAATGATACCTTTAATTATATATCAAGCCAGGTAAAGGGGGCACGCGGCTCTCTCGAGCGAGTGCCCGCCACCCGCCGCAAAAGGTGTCTTAGGAGAGGACGTAGTCCAGCATGTTCTAATCTACCAAGTTCGGCGAATTCCAGGGAGGGAGTTTCCACTTTCACTTGATAGCTCACTTTCAGACTGCAAACGCAGCATATTATAGTACATTCAGCAACTTCGCACGCACGCACGTTATCAGCAAGATACTCTGAACACATCTAGTACACGGAACTTTCCATAACTACGACCGTCTCAGGGGTCCAACTCAGTATTCAGAGCCTACAACTCCTCACGGCGGCGGGGTTAGGACTGGAGAAATTCGGTGCAACCCGTCCAATAATCTAACCTTATTAGCGGCAAATGATAATACCTTGATTAATAACGCGTCCCCGCCTAACATGGCCTAAGCGATGGGGTTAGGTAGGGCTCTTGCGGTCAAGATGTTCTTAGGGTGTATCCACTCGACTCACTAGTGTAAAGCAGAAGATCTTACCCTGGAAAGTATGTCAATACACGAGTTGCCCCACGACTGAGTAAATCCTGTCTGACACTTCGTGACCAAAGTTCGTTACACATACTCGCGAGTGGCAAAGTATCGAGTTACCAGAGCATTTGGTTAATCCCAGCTGTTACTCCTTCCTGCGTATTGCGTTCTTGAATGAAGCGTGTTAACACCTAATAATAAGATCTTGGCTTCACCCCAGGGGTTCTGTCTCAACGACGGGCTTATGATAGTCCGTGAAATTGCTGGACCCATCACGTGAGTTCTGGCTGCGCGCAAAGTGTGGGGGCGCGTTGCAGCGGCACAAGGACCCAGAATAGTTTCTTACGCAGTTCGTTTTAGGCGCCTTAGCATTAGGACTGCGAGGTTCGAGGCTCTTATCACTCCCTTGGGATTCCCGGATGCGTGTGGTGCCTGCGGTCCCATTGTCGTGTACCTAACCGATGCCATTCGATTTTTCTGCACCTGTAGACGCTTAACCGCTTTATACAGGCTACATCCACTATCTGATTATCGACCGTGTCCGAGTGAGGGTATCCTGTATTGCCAGTTAAAACACAGACACACTTTAGGGCATTGTTGCCACTATAAGGGAGAGTCGTCATGCGAAACGCCTCAAGTGGTTGACCCCGCTCCCTGCTTACTTACGCCGCTAGATTGTTCCTATTCGACTTTCATTTTTATGGTTGAGCGACTTTTCGCAAGGGAGTACGGAAGTACTCCCATCGTAGACCATTCGCGGCTAGAAAGCTTGACGTTTTCTAGTGGCTATGTTATCATTTTGAGGGGTTGCTCACCCCGCCAGATTAACGTTTCAACCAGGCTCTCCGAGTGTTGGCTGCCCAGGTAACCCAGTTTCCGGACGGATAGTAGCATGGATGACTATCGTAGTGAGGGGCTAATCTCCTCTGAACGCTCTGGCACGAGCGCTGCAACCGATCACGTTTGACGCTGTAACGTATAAAAGCGAGGGGGTATCAAGTTGATCTCAGGGGAATTTATGAAGAACCAGGGGTATCACACGTGCCGCTTAAAGTATTCAATTTTATTTCAACGATAGCGGTATCTCCTCAGAGTGTAAACATAATCCGCCAAGATATATAATGGGCATAATGTTTCGGCTCATAGCTCAATGCCCGAATCAAGTATAAAGTGACAACTGGCAGTGGCCTTCCTTAGGCACCCAAGAATTTTACTAGATGTATAAGTGGTGGGCCCTTCCTACCATCTAAGTCGCACCAACGTAATGAGCTCAAACTTGTATGTACGTACATTAAAGCGTTGTGTGACCGATTAATGGCTTAATGTGTGGCAAAACTATAAGCCAACCCTATCATCCCGCGTGATCTCACCGACTTCGTCTCAACCTTTTTGGAGTATGCTGCCACTAGTAGTAAGCGTGTTGCTTTGAGTGTAACGATCACTATTAGATACACACGACATTGAGGTCCACACGCTGAGTTGGAGTGTTCATAGTGCATTTAACGGACTTCCGCTCGTCCCACCCGCAGCGGCTCCCTCTTCCCGCCCTTCTGTCCTTACTTTCCGAGGTAGAATACAAAAAACTCCCCCCGTGGGCAACTTTCAATATCAGGGCCTGGGCGGGAAGAGGAAGGTCTATCAGTGAGACAGTCACGGAGTCGCCACCGAGAAACTATTTTGAGACATATCGGATATAAACACGCGTATCACATTTCGCACTCAACCTTGACTTCCCTCAGGCGGAATCGTTTAAGTGGGCATAGTTAACTAACTACGTTGAGAGTCAGTATATAAGGGATTACCCTGGTAAGGATAAAGATTATGATCGTCAGGCTGAGGTTCGCCCCCGCTAAAGAAATGATGATGAGAATTTGTATAATCAGATGGAAGAACCGTGTTTTTTATAAAAAGGTAATGCTAGCTTGATGACTATCACTAGAATTAACTACCTAGTGAACAGACTAGTATCATGGCATGGCTAACGAGTTCTCAGGCCTTTCTCCTTCGAGTAATCTGTTACAAGAGCTGAAATCGATTTGGGAAGATAGTAATGAGTCACAACACGGCCAGATGTTCTAAGACATAGTTTGTAGGTCACTACCTATGAGGAAATTAAGGGCCAGTTAATTGGACGTACCGCCAACCTCATGCGATAGGAAGTTCCTGATGAACCTCGTCCTAGTGTTACTGAGTTTAGAGCGTACACCGAATTAACGCATCAGTGCCACGGGCGGCAAATAGGTCCACTTCCCTATTTCTCCCGGTCTGTACCCAGCAGTCAAAGTTAAGAGTGGTATAACCGTTCTTGGACTTAGGTTCCTGAACAG